GTCCTCGTTTGCAAATAAAGGCCTGTGCCATCGCTCAGAGTCCCAAACCATGTGATTGTCCGCGCCGCCGCGCCTGAGTACGCGAGTAGTGTATGGTGCCAGAGGCGACGTCGTCGGGGAGGGCGTCGTCGCGGGCGCCAACGTCGTCATCCGAGCCCCTACGGCTGTCCAAGGGCACGTCTGGGTGACCAGGGGCGGGGTCCGAGCCGTGAATGCTCGGCCGGGGCGAGCTTCTGGGTCCATGGGACCGCTGCCGGACCCATCCGAGAGCCTTTCCGGACACGTTCGCTCGACGGCCTAGTTGTCGGCCGATGTTCGACGACCAAAGCTCCGGACGCCGCGGCCAAAGGTCCGCCCACGGCCCCAGGACTCGTTGTTGGGTTTGGGGTGTGCCTCACGAGGCGGAGAGGCCGCGTGAACTCCCGTAGAAGCTCGCGAAGAGTGCGGATTTGGAGCGCCGCGCCGGACCTCCGCCGGGGCCCGCCGGGGCGCCGTATGGGCCTCGGGGTGCCCGAGAAGCTTAGAGGTGCGGTTGTTTTTGCTTGTGTCTATCGGTTCATGTCATAGACCGGCCCTGGGAAGCCTTTGACCGCGCGCGGAGGGGGTGTTACGGGGCCGTGATGATTTAGTGGGATCTGGGAAAACGAGCGCGTGCGATCAAACTTTGCCAACAAGGTCTCGGCGGAGCCGCAATGCGCGGGCCGTGAGTGCATGAGGACAGCAAAATGTGTTTCCTCAAATATTTTGGCCCGTCAGACTGACCAAGACACATTTTAGACTGACCACCGCTGTCGGCACACGCAGCTGTGAGCGTCGCGCGCGCGTGTCCTCAAGTGTGTCTGTTCAGAGACGGCACAGCTGAGAGACCGCTGCCCTGATCCACAGGCCGAGCCGGGGACGGCGGAGGCGGCCATTGGGCACCGTCGTGCGCCGCAGCTGCCCCAGTCACGTCGGCCCGGCGCCTCGAGGGAGCGCCGCCTAGAGGAGCGCCGCCGGCCACGCGCCTCGAGCGACGGCGTCGTCCCGACTCGTCGCCGCGACGACGAGAGAGGAGCGCTGCCTGGCGCGCAGGCAGCGAGCGCGCTCGAGGTGACCGAGCTGATCCGCGTGTGGCCGCTACGCGACGCCGCATCTCGCACGGATGACGCCAGAAGCTCGCACGACGGCGCGGGAGCGCGCGGCTGGCGGGAGTGCGTGCGATAGGGTGCCAGAAGGCAGGCCGAGCATCGCCAGCGCGGCTCGAGGCCGTTGCCCGGGCCCCGCGGCGGGTCGAGGAGGCGCTCGCGGAGGCGACAGGAGCGCGCGGCACAGCTCCCAAACGACATCGATCTCGGACCTGAGGAGAGGAGGAGGCGGGCGTCGGTGCACCCTGAGGGTGCCTGCAAAGCGGCAGGTCCGAGATCGATGTCGTTTGGGAGCTGTGAGGTGTCGGAGAGCTCTCGAGGTCTCGACGGGCAGCCTGACCCCTCTCCCTCCCACCACGCCGCCCGGGCGCCACGCTTTGCATGTTCGAGGACGTTGACCACGCGGACCTGCTCGACGACGCCGGTGGCAAGCGTGGGCGGCAGAGCGGCGCCGGCGCGGATGGTGCGATGGAGCCGCGGCGGATCATCCAGCACGTGGCAAAGGAGGACGGCGGCGGTAACGACCCGCATGGCCCGACCGAGGTTGCGCGGCGGAATGCACGCGCCTCCGAGCAGGTGCTTGCGCGCGCGGAGCGCGCCAAGAAGTTTGGCGTCGAAAAGGCGGCAAATCCGCTGAACGCCAGAGCGTCGGCGGCGGGCGGTGTGGGCAAGACGGAGGCGGGGCTGTGGGAGAAGCGGCGCGACGCGGAGGCCGTAATTCCTGCACCCTCTGGCCCGGGCTCCGTCTTTTGTGTTCAGCTGCATTCCCAGCCGTCGCCCCAGCCGCCGCCCCATCCTCCGCCGCCTCCTCCCGCGCTGCCTGCCGCGGATCCTTCCGTGGCGTGGTGTGCAGCCGGCGAGCGTGGGTCTTTGAGCAAGGAGTCTTCGAGTGAGGAGCCGTGCTCATCTGATGCCTCAAGGCGTCCTCGCCGAACAGGAGCCGGTCTCGGATCCGCCGCCCAACCGGCGGCCACCTCCTCGGCTCATCTCTGCTGGGGCGCACAGCTGGCCGGCACCGAGCGCTGTCCAATGGTGACGCCAAAGTCGCCCGCCTTTCGCGACCGCTTCTGCGCCGCGTGCCGGGAGGGGCCCATCATCGTGCCCTGCTCCCGCATCCGCGTCTTGGACGGCTCGCTGCCTGCTCCGAGCAACTCGCGCGCCGAGGGCATGTGGAATGCCCAAAAGACAAAGCCGCCGTTCTGGCCCGCGCATCGCGTCGTCAACCAGACGGCGGACACCTTTGGCCTCAGGCTCATCATCCTGCGCGACGAGACGTCGGACCCGCTCCACGGCCTCGCCCCGCTTCCCGCCGAATTTGGCTCCGCGATTGCGTTTCTCGTCCGGAGGACACTCACCCCCGTCCCGATGCCTGGCATGCCCACGCAGCTCGTCCAAGCGCTGCGGGGCACGGGCCAGGGTGGCACGCTCGCACGCAGCGCCGCCCCTTCGAGATTGCTGCTGCGCGCCGGCTCGAGTGGGGACGGGTCCACCGTCGCGCTGGTGCCACCCTGCCTGCCGCCCCTGGAGGAGGCGCTCGTCCTGCCGCTTGGTCCTGCACCAGCCGCTGCCGCCGCCGCGTCTGCCCAGCCGCTGAGATGGCGCTTTGGTGAGCTGGTGGACGCGGTGGCTGCCGACGCAAGTGCCGCGGAGCTGATGCAGCTGCTGGTGACGCCTCCAACTTCGCCGCCCGCGCCGCCAGCGTCGCCGTCCACGACAGAGG